TGAGCTTTTGGTAAAACTTTCGGGGAACAAGTGAGGTGGCTGAGGTGATTTGGAGGTTTTTAATAGAGGAGTCTAGGGTGGTTTTAATTTGAATGGAGGTTGAGGGGTTGAGGCCTAATATTAAGGGGGTTGTTTGAAGTGGTTGTTGACCATGCCTTAGGTCTCTTTTTGTGTGGCGGCTGCCTGAGGGGAGTGAGGGAGTGTAGGCTGCTGAAGTCCTAGGATATGGGCGGGTTGTTACGGACTTGGTCTTGCACATGTTGGACGTGAGGTGGTGCATGGATTCCAAAAAATAACATGCACCAAGACCGAGCACATATAGGCATTTAGGGACTTAGGAAAACTTAAAAAATTTTGCTTGGGATGGTCGAGTATAACACATGTATAAACACTTAAGAAAATTGAACACTTAGGCAAAATTACACTTAAGAAGATAATAAAACATTTAGCAAAAAATTAGAAGACTTAGGCACAAATTAGCACAAAAATATACTTAGGCAACTCAAAACCAAATAAACACAAAATTCGCTTAGGCACATTATTCACTTGGAAAAATAAAATTTAATAAGGCAAGAGCACAAAAGAAGAAATAAGAAGACGAGGAAATCCTCTTAAATCTCGATTTTTGATTGCTAAATTAAATAGACGAGGACATCTATTTAATTTTTATTTTGGATTAAACAAGATTACACAAAGTCGAGCTATGAAATGAAATGCAAAAGAACATGCTTTTACTAACAATCGGGGTATTACGATCCTACCCTCCTAAAACGATTTGCATCATAGGAAATTACATAAGTACAGAAGAGAACTCAAGTCGCGTCACCCTCGCCGTGGCGGCTCCACTGGACTTTGACGAGCACCGCCTCTTGGTTCCTCAATTGGTGGACCTTCTGGTCCAAAATGGTTATTAGTACCTCCTCATATGTCAGGTTTTGCCCGACGTGCAGATTGTCAAAGTTCACCAAGTGTCCGGGGTCATGCACATACTGCCTCAACATCGAGACATAAAACACATCGTGCAAGTGGTAGAGCCAACCGATAGGCTCGGTCGTCGACTCAGTCTAGAATCTCGAAAGGACCAATAAAGCGCGGTTGTAGCTTCCCTTTCTTCCCGAAACGATTCACACCCCTCATCGGTGTGACTTTCAGGAATACTTTATCTCCGACCTCGAGCTGCAGATCTTTCCTCTCTTGATCGGCATAGGACTTCTGCCGATCCTTTGCTGTCTTGATACGCGCTCGGATCTCTTCCACTTGTTCCACCGTCTTCTTTACGATTTTGGGATCGAGAATCTTCTTCTCGCCGACTTAGTCCCAATACAACGACGTCCTGCACTTACGCCCGTACAAGGCCTTGTACGGTGCCATCTGAATCGTCGCCTGATAGCTATTGTTATAGGCGAGCTCAACGAGTGACAAGGCATCCTCCCACGAGCTACCTCGATCTAAGACCCAAGACCTCAAAAGATCCTCGAGTGTCTTGATAGTCCGCTCGGACTGACCATCCGTCTGTGGGTGGCAGACAATGCTAAACTTGAGCCTCGTCCCCATGGCACCCTGCATGCTAGTCCAGAATCTAGAAGTGAACCGTGCATCTCGGTCGCTAACGATCGACAAGGGCACTCCATGAAGTCGAACTATCTCGTCTATCTACAGTTGGGCGTACTAATCCAACTTCATCGTCATCCGCACTGGAAAAAAGTGTGTCGTCGTGGTCAAACGATCCACTATCACCCAGATGGCATCGTCTCCCTTCCTCGACTTTGGACGACCCACGACAAAGTCCATCGTGATATGCTCCCACTTCCGCTCGGGAATATCGAGCGAACGAAGCAAACCCGACAGCTTCTCATGTTCGGCCTTGACCTGTTGGCACACCAACACCGGTCTACCAATCTCGCTACATCCCCCTTCAGCCCTCTCCACCAGAAGAACCTCCTCAAGTCTTGATATAGCTTCGTACTCCTGGGATGGACGGAGTACGGCGCGCTATGTGCCTAGTCTAAAATCTCCTTTCGCAGTGTTGGCACCTTCGGAACACAAAGCCTCTGCTCGAAAACTAGGGCCCCGTCTGATGCTACTGCGAAATCTCCAATCTTACCTGCTTGAGACAGCTCTCTGATCCGGCACAAGAATCTATCACCCGGCTGTTCTGATATGATCCTCTCTTGCAGAGTCGCTCCCACAACTAACGATGCTAAAACACCACTAGTTCTCGAAGACGACTCCACCGCCTCTAACTCTTGACGGCGAATTCCCAAACCAACTGTTCCTGCTAGGTAAGCATACAAGTTAGCTCACCACGACCTCTCTGACTCAACGCGTCGGCGACCACATTAGCTTTCCCGGGATGGTAGCTAATGGTGCAGTCGTAGTCCTTCACTAGCTCAAGCCATCGCCTCTGTCGCATGTTGAGCTCCTTCTGGGTGAAAATGTACTTCAGGCTCTTGTGGTTAGTGAATATGTCGCACTTACCCCCGCAGAGGTAGTGCCGCCAAATCTTCAAGGCATGGATGTAGTGACCCATTCGATTAAGAATAGACATCTCGTTTTATTTTATTTGTGCATTGCATTGCATTTAATTTTCTAAGCTCGACTAAGTTCATCAAGATTAATTAGACGTCCTCATTTAGTCAATTTTTAAGTTAAATAATTTATGTACACGACCCCATCTACATAAATTATTTCAAGTTTTCGGTATTTTGTTTGTCAAGCGAATTTCGTCCGTTTTCGAATTCTCGTTTAGGGTTGATTATCTTATAGAACTTATAACATAATAATTTATAAATTCTACCATAATAATAATAAATTCTATAAGATGATCAATTATAATTTATAACACAATAATAATAAATTCTATAAGTTGGTTCATGCTTTCTCTTGGCTATATGGTTTATCGGAGAGATCGAGCTTCAAGAAATAAATTCTAATTTATAACATAATAATTTCTAAATGCTAACATAATTTGTCAAAAAAAAAAAAAACACGCCTGTCAGAAGAAAAACGATCCAAAGGGGAACGATAAGTAGTTAAAAAAGAAGCCGTGTTTAGCAATTCACTAATTTTTTCAAAGACCAATAGTCACGGAGTCCTCTGTTTTTTCTTTTTATATTTATTTTTTTTTATTTTTTTCTAATTGATGAACTAGATGATGTCAAAACCAACACATCACTACGCAACATCACCTCTAAAGCTTTGAATTTTAGAAAACCCGAAACTATTCAGGCTAACCCTGGACTGATTCTCCTTCGGGTCAAGCGGGAGAAAAGTGGCGTACCCATCTTCGTGGACGCGAAACCAGAAAACGATAAAAAACAAAAAACTGAAAAGCTAAGGCCAAGTCTAAATGATACCGCTTAAACTAGAAAATTCATTGTACGGATCACCACAACTTATGCACACTAATGTAAAAACCATGCATTAGTAACATCTTCCAAACCTTCATCCATCACATTTTTAAGCAACTTCATGAAATAAATAATAATTAAAAAAAAAGAACTTCACAAAGGATAACCATGCTGCTTTTGTAAAATATAAACCAGTAGCAAATTTATCAAAACACAAGTCAATAGTTTAACAACCTAAAGGTATATTTTAGACCCTTTAATCACTTCGCTATAAGACCACACAATTGTCTCTTGTTATTAAACTTCCACTCTGCACTCGCAAGTCGTAACACGGCAGTGAAGTGAAGTAACAATCAAGTTACAGAGGACTTGCAAACAGGACAAGAAGTCTTCCTCCGAAGCCATGGATCAATGCACTGTCAAATTTTGAAGAAAATTACAAAGTTAGAGTGATAATTTGAAATTATATTAAGTAAGCTCAAATCATAGTTGAACTTGAGCACATGCAGACCCAAATTGACCCCAGTCAAGATATGCACACAAACATGGGTATAGCCAGCTTCATATTCGCATACACCAGAAATGGAATAATCGCAATATAAACCAGCTAGTAAAGTTGCGTACATCTTTGTGAAATTTGTGTAAACAGGGCAAGTGGCGGATAGAATCACCAATGGTGGGAGTCTCCAGACAAACTGCACAGGTTTCATCAAAATTCTCAGTCTGCAAAAAGAGATCAACAACATTAGCAAGGTTAACTGCATTTTTGTTCCAGCCATTTTAATAGAAAGGTTTGGTTCAAGATGATTACATGAACTTTTGATTGCGGGAGACCATTAATCTGATGGACAGAACAACCACTGTGCTGATCATTGTTGTCGTCAAGAGCCAGTAACATTTCATAATCATTCCTGACCAAATAACGGCAGGAAATATTAGAAGCTTGCACAGCTTATTTTCAAAGGTGGAAATGGAAATGTAACCAGATAGCAGACTAAAATGAAGGTTCAAGCATGGAAGTTGAAATTCGGGAGATCTAGGCAAGTATAAGCTATCCATTGAGGGAATTTTCACTCATTTTTTCCAGAATCAATTACATGGCAGCAGCATGAAAGAAATTTAAATGCTACAATTATGGTGTCATGGAAAGTTCACTACGCCGGCGCCATGGCTGCTGCAGATCAAGTTCTTGAGTTTCTTTATTTCTCAAAAAACAGAAGTAAAAATGAACTTGTCAATTGAAATTACAAATGAATTGTGATGCAATTGAATGCAAATAGAAGACGTAAGTATATGGGGTCCGAAAAGCTAGTTGTGCATGTTTGGTACACTCCTTTTATTAACATGCGTAAGTCGGATGATTAGATTGTTAACATTTTACCACCCGGAAATAATGTGACACGCAAAGAAAAGAAGTAATGATCTTCAAGAGCACCCCCTACTACCCAAAAAAAAGTGATGATCGTAGAATGTAAAACCTCTCGCTAATCGGTACACGCATAACTCTTACTCATTGAAATCACGCGGAACTTGAAGGATGCCAGCACTCAATCCAATGTCATTGATGCCGAGACCCAATCCCATGTCATTGAACTCTTCTAGCGCTCCCAGTATATGCATTCTCTGCAAAATGCAGAAGTGTAACTGCGCGAGGATGCAAAAAATAGGAAAAGAAAAAAAAAATTAAAAAACTAACAAACATAGGTCTACATCATCCATCATTATTCATGTCGCACTTGCGGGAACTGCTACTATGATAACCAAAAGCATGGCACAATTAAGCCAGTTATATACAGGCGCTCCAAACAAAGTTAATCTCAGCGCCATCAGCTACTGCAGGCTAATTAGTAAACCTTCTATACCAAAACACTCTTTTCATAAGATAATTACGGCCAATTAAAAAAAGAAAAAAAAAAGCCTCCAGCAAACCGTGATGAAGTGGCTCCATCTAGCATTTCTTTAGAGGAGAATAATCTTAAGGGCCACGCCAGCTGTTATCATCAGAGAGTTAACATTCCCGCATAAAAAGGTTGCATCGTATTCAGAGGATACTCAACATATAATAACACAATTATCAGTAGGAAAATGAAAGAATCACGATTAAGATGGTTTGGGCATGTGCGTAAGAGAGACTTCGAGGCCCCGGTGAGAGGGTAGAAACATTAGAATTAAGAACACAAATTAAAAAAGGGAGTGGTAGACCTAAGAAAACTTGGAAGGAAACAATAAAAAATTATTTAAAATATTTAAGTTTGAATGATGATATGTGTTCTGATCGAGCATGATGGCGACATGTGATCCATATAGCCGACCCCACTTAGTGGGATTTTAACGGCTTCTTGGTGTTGAATCAGTAGGAAAACAAACTTAAAAGGAGGATTTTTGGACTCCAATAAACAAGAAACCGAAAAAATAGCAAGTACATGCAGATCAAGACTACTACCATCTCAACATCCATGTCTTCAGGGAATATGGAAGATGAGTCTCCAGAATATACTAATCTACGGGCTTGACCAGGAAAACGACTCCTCAGCCTTGTCAATCTCCCTGATGAAGCAGATCTAGCTACAGACCCCCTGCGAGGACCACTCAAGGAAGACCGACCCCTTGATTGTCTTTGCAAATTCAACATTGATGCACTCTGCAAAAAAGAGAAAATATAAAGATAAACGCAATATCTTTTTGAGGCCTAATCTTAAATGAAAAACCAGCTTATCTTAATTATGTACACAGTGGATCAAACCAAATCAGGAAATAAGGAAAAAAACCAATTAAACTTAATACACAAGGCTATACTATGGAAATGCTGAGCAAAAAAGAATCCAAACTAGTGTTAAGGAGACCTTTAAAATTGGACCACTTCATTACAGCATCTGTTAGGATTAAGGAAAATAGGTTCTCAAATTATATAATTAAGAAAAAATTGTTAATGTTAATTATAATATGAATAAAAAAAAAAGGAAATTAGGAATGTATCGGTTGGTAATGTGCAGCCAAATCATGGGAAGCGACAAGCCCCAGAAGAGTTTCACCCTGTTAACTGCTAAACGAAATGAGTATTGCACTAACGCCATTAACAACCGCTGCAACCTCACACAGAAGGCAGATTGCCAAATTCTCTAATTGCTACATTGTAATACTAAAAAAATAAACAAACAGTAACTTACAGCATTGGATACATGGTTTCTTGACCGAGCAGGCCCACGAACTGAATTGTCCTGGTGCTGCAATGCCAGTGCAATGTGCTCATCAACCTGCCGACAGGTTCAAAATTGAAAGAAAATGCATTTGAAGTGCATCATCATAGGTGAATACATATTTGACACACACAAAGAATGAGAATAAACCTCTGCAGCTCCAAAAACAGGTAGTTCGCTGTAAAGCTGTTCTTGAAGTTCACGAGCCAAAGCTTCATCTGCTTCAACCTGTCTTGCCCTAGCAACGCCATCATCACAAGCATTGTGTTTTAATTGAGGAGATAACTCAGCAACCTCAGGAATTTGCTCTAAGTTGTTCGTATTATGATAAGTAGACTTTGGAAGTAACACAACTTCTGGATCGTCAGAGACCGATGTAGAACATTCACGACTACTTGAGGCCAATCCCTGTTTCTGCCTCTTGATTAGAGTGTTTGTAGTAGAACTAGACCCATTTAGTTGGCCTGGTCGAGCCTGGTGATGGGAGAATGATTCCTTTGAATGTGGAGGGTAAGAACGCTCTAAAGAGATGAAGTCTTTGCCTTTATTATCACCAACTGTAACGCTAACTCCTTTTTTGCTTCTTTCCAAATTATTCACATGATGCTGGCTAGAATATATTAGGGGGGCCTTTTCTTGAACCACACGCAGTTCCTCATCAGGCGACAATATATTCATTTCGCTAGTCCGATTATGAGTACTTCTCCATCCACCTGGTTTGTCAAAGTTTTTACCAGTGCCAATGTTGAAAGAACTTGGTCCAGTAGCCTTTTCACAAAATTTCATAGAGCTCCTGCAAAATTAAGTTATACTTTTAGATAAATTGTAGTAATAATAATATCACATATATATAGTAATTGAAAGTGGAGACATGTCTTCAGGTTTATGCTAAAAATATTAGTATCATACAACTACATATGCATGTTTGCGTGAGGTATGTGTAACAAAGATTCTGAATTGATGTCTATATCCATCAGTTTACTGTAAGATAGTATCTGTAGATCCACATATCAACATGATGTATCCATAACTGAGATACCCCAAGAAAGAGGTTTATAACAAAAAAGATTATTGTCCAACGCCTCGTGTTATAAGAACAATCCAGAATTTCGAAGATTTTCTGAGCCTATGGCTCCTACAGCAATGGAAGCTGTTAGAAGCTGTGTCGGCCACACATACACTATTCTTTTATGACAAAATGGAACCTACATATGCTCCTTCAAAGGAGGACCTTGGGTGGCATTCTATAATGGAGTAATTTAACCAAAACAAAGAAATAACATATGAACAGAAATAAAACCAAAAGACAGAAAAACACATTCAAGATGGTTTAAGTCCCACCAAGAGGAGCATGTTCGCACCAGCTCCTACACTATCCCGTGTTCGCATTGACAAAAAGAAGGGTGGATATTATGTCAACAGCACTTCACCACTTCTAGAGATGGATTCCACTTGACTTTTCTAGACAAAACAACAAATTTTGATATTTTAAAAATGAAAAAAAAAAGGTAAAAACATGAAATCAGCTTGTACACCAGCGAACACTCCATAAAGCAATGATGCTATGGCCTTTCTTTCTATGCCTTCCTTTTTTTCTTTTCTTGCTCGAGACTGGCAAAACAGCAACTAGATTGTTGTCCATTTTTGTAAATAGATAAATCAACAACCCATTTACTTTTACGCACTTTATTGTGAAGACACGACTCGAAGTTGCACCTTCAGTAACCGCCATAAGTGACATGTTGAAGCAATTGCTATATTTTTGTTCCATCTTTTTCTGCATAAATGTGTTTCAGTTTGGTACTATTGGAATTTGTTAAAAGGACACCTTATGCATGACTACTTTGTAGACAAGTGATAATCAATGCTTTCATACCTCAAATTTATCTCATTCCAGACTACATTCTATAATCCATTCTACTACTGTTCTCATGGGATTTTTTTCAAGGATGTTTAGAGGAACAATGCTAAATTTGGTTTTTCCAATTGTTGGTGTTTCATACTATGAGAATTGTGACCCAAAAACCTTGTCAATTATATAAACAAATGCAATTGCATCAGGACAGTAAATGGATGATAGTAACAAGCTTATGAACAGACAAATTTCATCAGACATATACAAAATAGAAGAATAAACTACATAACAGAAGAATAAATTACCTGCTATGCAAAGCATTGCTTCTAGAATCATCCTTTGATGAGCAAGAATGAGTCACCACTCCTTTGCCCTTTCTTGCATAAGCATCGTTGTCGTCAGCAACCAATTCCCTGATATCAAATGGCACTGGTCGTGGACAAGATGGCTTAGAGCTCTTATTACTATGTGCAAAAGCTATTGACCCATTATTATTGTGTGCACTGGCTACGGAGCTATTGTTATCATGTCCAACATCTATAAAGCTATTGCTATCCTTTCCATCCAACTGCTTGATCTTAGCTATGTTATTCGGAGATATACACCCATTTCTTACCAGTCTCTTTTGCTTATTTATTCTAGGTGGGGCAGCAGCATCACGAGATAGAAAACAACTACCAGGTTTCTCCTGAACATTATTGCCAATAAACCCCACTTCTCCACGAACAGCATTACTTGAACCAACTCCACCCACATTCTTCAATTTTGCACCAGCACGTGATGCTGTTAGAAAATTCAGCCGGCTAACAAAGGAAGAATTCACATTAGACTTCCCAATAATGGGTCCACATGTGTCTTTTCCAGTCAAATCCACAAAACTATCATCGGGACTAAAAGATTCAGGAATACAAGATGGCCTCAAAGTCTGTTGAGAGTGATTATTAATAGAATCATGACTAGGGTAACTGGAGTTCTTCTCTGTTGCTCCTTTCCGGAATAGGCTAGCATTTCTCAAGGGAGATGAACTTGAAAATGAAGAAATTGTAGAATTAATTGGACATCGAGGGCTATTTGAGATGCTAATGCATTTTTTAGGCTGCATGGATAGAGCTCGACTTCCACTGTCAACAATCATCGGTTGATCTTTAGAACCATCTTTGATAACATTCTGCTTTTGTGAATAGAGGGGTGGTGACAGACTATGATTCTCAACCTCAATAATGTTTTTACCATTGATCCTCTGTCTCGTTAACCTATCAGGAGTGTCGGGAACATCAACTATGTGATCAATGTCCATCTGTTCCATAATCTGTAGAAAAACAAGAAACCGGATCGTAGGATAGTAAAATACCAGTGACCAGTGGTTAACTAGTTGTAAACCCAAAAGCACTTTTGACAATTCACTATAGCCTCACCCTTTCTGAGATCATATAGATTTTCAAGCATCGGAACTGAACAAATGAAGTTCATCAAATGTTCTCCACTTATAAACATTAAATTTAACATATAAACATGAAGCAAAGAAATAAAAAATCTGATTTGTTATTCAGGAAACTTGAATGATTATGGTCATGCCTCCCATAGACCACATAAAAAGGAGAAGATGACAAATAAAGATGAAATTTTCAATCACTACCTCGGTTATCAATGGTAAACCACCACACTGGACAAATCTTGAGGAGCATAACAAACCTAGCCGCTTTACGCACAAAAACCCAAATTACAAACACAACAGAATCGGCAACATATCACATACAGAAACAAAAATAGCCCACCCCAAAGCCAAAAATGCATAATGAAACAATAAAAGCTGAAAATAAATCAATCCTACTCCAATCCCCCTCAAAAGAGGAAAAACAGTAAATTGAAAAATACGAATAAATAAATAAATTCCGAAACAGTTATTGGACTTCAAACCGTCTAAGGTTTCTGCAAAAATCACTTCTAAAACCAATTATAAAAATAATTAATACAAACAAATCTAGGTAGATAAATAAAATGCGGAAGAATAAAAGAAGCAAGAAAGCACTCCGCACCTGTTTCTTCATTGGATTCTCCGGAAACTGCAATTCCAATGGCAGCTGATGATAAGAGATTTACGACAACAAACTACAGAGCGAGGGTTAGAAGATAACATACGACCGAAAGGCGATGGTTTTAAATTCGAAATAAAGACACTGACCATTTTAAAAAATTGTTTACATGAAATTACAATTTAATTATCTCTTCTAATATTCATTTCTATTCCATCATTTAGTTTCAAATTAGTGGAGACAACATATTTAAAGTAAAATCCTTAAAGTTCGAAAGGTATTAAATTATGAAAGAGTTATTATACATGTGACAATAATACACATCTTGCAAACATGAGAAAATTATATTATATATTATTGAAAATCTCTTTATATGCAACATTTTTTGTTTGACTTGTTGGCGCGTCATCATCACCACAAGCTAATATCTTCAAACTGTTTCGATTGGCGACACGGGATTTTGCAACGGGTCATGACTGAATACAGTTTTCTTAAGCCCTATTTGCTTCCCATGATAGCTGATATAACTCCATTAATCCTGATGATATCTTGTGTTTGACAATAATGATATGGGCCCTCGCGATTGGTTCAACCCGATACTAAATCATGATTTATCTTGGATATGAAGGATAAGTTAATCTGCCACGGTTGTTGTGTTTATTTTTATCTCAACAATGACACATAAGTAAAATGTTCGTTCCGTCCCCAAATTTTTTTTTAGACCAATTTAACCTCCCTTTTTACATTAATTTCAACTGAATATATATAAATGAGTATCAGTTAACCCTAGATGGACAATTTGTAGGTGTGTCTTGTTGGTTTATATATTGAAAGCTTGGGTTTAGATATTATTTACACTAATCCCGTTTGAATGAGAATCATGTTTAATTAAACAGTCTATGTTATGTTGTTTTGCACTTAGATAAAAATGGTTCATTATCGGGTGAACAGAAGATCATTTTATCAGTGACTTACGTAAAAAGAATAGCTGGTTCACAACCTAGATGGAAATGAATAACCCATCATGAACGGGTGTAGTGTTAACCGTACAATTGGTCTTGACTGATTAGTTACACTAGTGCATTGTGTGCATTGAACGGATCCCAGAGAGGGGAAGTTCGTTTTATACTTAGTAACGCAAAACACTCCAACCGGCTTGAAATCGACTCGCCTTCCTCTTCCTCGCTGGTAGAACGCCGCGCACCTGCACAGAACTCTCACATCGAAGGGGTTTTCCGGTGAAGAGCCTCCGATGCTTAAGTCAGTATGTATTTTACTCAATTCTCCAAAGTATGTAATGGATAAATCGTAAGTCACAAGAAAAGACCCACTCCTATATATATAGGAGTGCGATACCTGCCCTAGGAGCTGCCCGGATCTGGTGAGCTGTCCTACCCGTACTGCCCGTCCGTACACACACAGTATGTGTGTGTCAGAAGCGTCAGAGGTGGTTATCACCACTATTGCTCTGCACCAATGTATTCTTGCCACGTGTCCCTCTGAGCAGAGAGAGATTATTCTCTATGCATCCCGTTAGGATCTTCTAACGCCACCCACGCGCTTTCTCGTGTTCAAGCCATGCTCTCGACTGCTCTTCAGCTGTTGAGTGCTCGATCTGACTGAGTCCCCTATCGCTAGGTCGATCCTCGACCAGTTCTGCTATTCTGCTCGATCTCTTCCCTTTTGGTCGATTATCCTTCGACCAATGCAGTTTTCTCTACTTCGAGCTTGCCCGACCAATGTGGTAAACCGGTCTATTCTTTAGCTATATAATATCCCATATCATCTAGTCCCCCCCACTCTGGTCGAGTCTAAACGACTCGATCTAAGAGTGAATTCGAGCTGTCTTCTCCGTTCTACCACCCTCTCGACCTCCTACTTACATCTGTTCTCCTCTCTCGATCGTTTCCGTTAAGGCCACCACCATTCTTTGACCATGTGATCTATTTTATGGTGCGCTTTAACTGTCTTTCATTTCCTTTTATTATTAGCATAATTTCCGCCTGCCATATGTCCTTTCCGCTCAGTACCTTTAATCATCATGCCCCCTCGCGATTTGTGCCGCTTCGCTATCTGTGCCTCTTTAATCTCTTCCCACCATTGGATCTCCTTTTATCTAATGGCTATCGCCATTAACTGTTCACTTTATTCCTCTGCCCTCTTATAAATGCAGTACTTAGCAAATTTTCCGACTTTTCTCACTTTTTGCAAATCTCGAACTCCCTTGTGCCCTAATTTCTTCCTCTGCAAACTGCTCTCTCCTGCTCTCGGCGCCTTTTCAAGCATTTTGTGGCAACCGCTCTCTACTACAACCATGAGTAAGTCTCATGTGCTTTAATTTTGTGTTCGCGTGTGTTTATTTTGTCGATTTTTAGTTTTTCCCTGTCGCTTCTTCCTTTCCTCGAAACCTTCTCATTTCATTTGTGGAAAAAACCTCATTCTTCACCTTCTAAAAACCCTAACTTTTCTTCTTTCCCTCTCAATTTTCCTTTCTACTTTTCAGATTCCGTCGATTCTAATGCACAAAGTCATCATTCTAGTGAAGATGAGACCGCCGCGTCATCATTCCCCACTCATCGGCCTATCCCTCACTCGCCTTCCCGCTCTGTCGAAGAAATCTACAATCCCACTCCTATCAGCGTTTTAAGCCCCTCTGATTGTGCCACACCTTCTCCTCCTCGCCAACCTACTCGTCTGATTGATGAATCAGACGAGGATGCCCTCGACCATATCCCCCTCAATCGTCGTCGGCCGGCGTTTGGGGCTTCTGATGCCGCTGAGACAGCTCTTGATGCTGCTAAGGCAGCCGTGGAGAGGGACGAAGATGATGTCCCCCTCTCTCGGCACTCCGTTTTTTCCAAAGTCGTCTCCTCGAGTAACCCGAAGCAAAATGTTCCTTCCCAATCTGCTTTGAAACCTTCGAGCACTCCTGCTTTGCAAACCCGTTCCAATCCTGTTACTGCATCTCTGAAGCCGGCCAAAAAGAGAAGGTTAGTCAAAGCTTCATTCTCTAATCAGACCCCCTCTCGCCCTCTCGTTGTTGGTTGGTTGGACGCCAATGAGGTTGGTCACCCGGCTAAATGGGCTTTCGTGTCCCCTGGTCCCAAGGCTACATATGACTGTCCCCCCAAGGACTATACTTTTTTCAAGATTCAGTTTAAACTTGGTATTCGCTTCCCTCTATGCTAAGATTTGATCGACATCTGCCAGTGGTTCGAACTGCCTTTGAACCAGCTTCCTCCTACTGTTATCCGGTTCATTACCATCTTCATCATCCTTTGTCATGTCCGCCTGGGTCGGCTCGACCTTGACTTCGTTCATTATTGTTATGCCCCTTCAAAACACACTCAAGGGCTTTACCTCAAAAGTCGTGCCGATGTCCACTTCATCTCAGACACCCCTTCAAATGTCCCTAGGTGGAAAGATAAGTTCGCCTTTGTCGAGCCTAACCCTGCCTTCCCTTGGGAGCCAACTCCGTGGCTCAAGGAGCTCAAACGCGATTATGTGACACCTTCTCAGAACGCCCTCTTCGACCAACGGATCGCTGTGTGGAACACTAAGCCCGTTTCGTCAAAAATTCTGCTCGAGGATGATAACCTCCTACATTTCTGCGGCCTTCTTACTCATAAGTCTCTTCCTCCTCCTTTTCAAAAAATTTCCGATCTCATTCGAATTACAGATGATCCAGGTATTTGTATTTTTATTGAGTGTGCCTGAGCATTATCGTGCAGTTATTCAATATATGATTAACCTATTATGGCTCTAACTTGTTCGTGGTTTCTGGCAGAGATGCCTACTATCTCTGTGCCCAGGAGGAGAGCTCCTTTGAAAAGGAAGCAACCCGGCGAGGGGTCGAGCTCGAAGCCCGCTGACTCGACCACCTCCCAGTCCGCCTGCTCGACTTCACCGCCTCCAAAAGTGACCGTCAAGCGACCATCTTCGACCAACCTTCAAGCCGACCAGCAACTCGAGCAACTAGAACAGCTCGAGAAACCAGCATCTCCTCCGCCACGCTCTCCTCCGCACGACCAAACCAATCCGACCATTCACATTCCCGCTTCTCCCGAGAAGACTCTGCTCGAGGAGAATCGGCTTAAGCGTCCCTCTGCTGAGGGGGATGAGAATGTTGGCAAGCATTGTCGTCTTGAGGAGACCGCGCTCTCGATCACTACACTTGATGGCACGGGGTTCGCGCATTTCCTTAGAGATGTCCTTCCTCCCGTCGACCATCCTACCGACTGTTATAATGACGGTCATACCCTTCGAGATCGGGGCGATCGGATTGCCCGATGGCTGGCTCAGATAATCTACTATAGCTTGATGTTTATTCGTTTTACTCCACTTCCTGTCATCATAAGTGCCCTAACACTTCCTCCTATATGCTTTTATAGGGATGGTCGAGTTCGCGCTGCTGATCGAGCAGATGTTAGCTAGCCCGAGCCGTTCCATCCCAACGATCGAGCGAGGCAATCTTCAGCTCGGCAATCGATTGAATGAGATGGTTGTCAAGAGTAATGCTCTTCACGAAAGGCTGAAGGAGTCGGCCGCCCAGAATAAGGCCCTCTCCGCCGAGAAGGAAACGCTCGAGGGGGCCCTGAAATCCTTCGAGGAGGCACTCGCAGCCGAGCGATCAGAGAAAGAGGCCCTCTTGGCTTCTCAAAAAGCTCTCGAGGCTGCGATTGAGGAGAAGAAGTTATCCCGGGCACGTGAAAACGTGGCTTTCGAGCAGCGGGCCAAGCCCCTAATCGACGAGGCTGTCCTTCGGGCTCGGAGGGTGATTTTCCATACGACAGCGGGTCAGCGTTTCCTGCAAGTATATCGCGAACAAGTGGTGGCTGCTTTCCAGCAGTCGCCACTATATCTGAAGGGCATGCAAGATTACGGCACCCAATGCTTCGAGGCCATCATGCAACAGGCAGGGCCCCAGATTGCCGAGGACGATTTTGTAGAGTTCAATATAGAGGCTATCTGGGATGCTATGCCCAAAGTCCCTACCGACTACCAAAGTACCCTCGATTTGCCTGCTGACCATGACTGGTGGTCGGGTCTGCTCGAGCTTGTCGTGGATAGTGACGGCCTGCTGAAGCGCCATTTCAAATTGCCCGACAGTTATACTCCTCCCCTCGCTCGCCAAAACCTGCTGTCTGATGCGACTGGGTCATCGTCCAGTTCGAGTCAGCTGGCTGAGCCAGTGCAACAGCAGGTCG